TTTTTTCAAATGGAGGGTTTGTGGCAACCCTGTGTCTACCAAGTCTATCTGCCATTTTTTTCAATAGCATGTGCCCACTTAGTGTTTGTGTCACATTTCAGTAATTCTTAATATTTCAAACTTTTTCATAATGCTATTGCACACTTAATAGACTATTATGTAAATATCACTTTTTTATGCACTCCAAAAAACCAAACTCACTGCCATGGAGTCAATTCGACTCACAGCCAAGTGGGCTGCTACAATGGCCATGAGTTGGGCCAGTCAGCAGAGGAGATGCCACTGGTGGGGAGGCTGAAGGCAGAGAAAGGTGTGTGCACAGCTGAGAGAAGGGTGGCCTTCCTGCAGGCATGACCAAGAGAAGGGTCGTCTGTGAATGCGGCAGAGGAGCTGAGAGCTGTCCTGGTTGGAACTGTCTTGACTGATAAAGTTGATCCTGTCTCCTGTGTTGTACCTTGTTACTTCCAAGATGATCCTAATCCCAAGTTGTAGCCTGTTACTTCCCTAATAAACCATATAACTATCATGATCTGTGAACTCTGTGTAGCCACTGTAATGAATTACCAAACACAGCAGAGAAGTAGAGAGTGCTGTGGGAAGCAGGAGGGTGGCTGGTATCAGAAATGGTGAAAAAAGTTGGTGTAGAGGTATGTCTGACTTCCACCTCATAGGAATCAGTTTGTGCTGATCCTGATTCTTATCCCTCATGGATATAGACAAGTTCTGATGCTACATTACAAGGGTGTTGTCAGGGTCACCAAGAAAGACAACTCACACAGGCACTGGATGGAATCATGCTTTACTCAAATAGAGAAGAGAGCAAGATCAGCTTCAGTGGTGGGTGTCAGTCTCCCACGACCAGCAGATCTCACTCTACAGCCAATACAGGGAGACAGTCTGCACACACCCCTCTTGTACTGTAGGTATGTATCTGAAAACAGATACAGCAGTGGGATTGGCCAGGTGCCGTATAATACACATGCTTAGCTAAGCAGTTCATGAAAATGTTGGGCACATGCTCAGGACAAAAGGGAAGGAATATGCTGACATACTACTATCTGCTATGTGATGTGTTTTGAGTCAAGACACTCCAGAAAGGGAGGCAACCTTCACTCACATCCTATTCACGAAACTAGGCCAACACATCTGGGCCTAAGCAAAGGTTCATTCATGGGTCACAGGGAAAGGCAGGCAGCAGGATGCACCTGGACTGCCCCTATCCTCAAAGAAAAATTAAAACTCTAAAATTGAATACAACAGAAAAAAAATTGAGTATTCAATCAGTAACAAACCCACAAAGAAGCAATTCAAGTGACCTTTGAACACAGTATAAAATCATATAGCAATAATGGTACTGTTAATTCCTGTCCCCTGACCCTGTTCTTCATCTGAGAAATTCCAAACTATACTTACAACAAGTAGAAGATACTCTTGAAGACTTATGGGACTTTGCTGTTGCCTGTATAGTGTGAAATCCCATGAAAGAGCTGTTTTGTAGGTTAAGATAGCAAGAAAGTTAAGATACCAAGAAGTGTGTGATGGTATGCTCTAGCACACTGGCAGTTAAGATGTTTTTATTTTGCTAAGGAAATTATGAAAAGATTAAAGTGCTTCTGGAAAAAAAAAAAAAAAAAAACAGGCCATTGTTTCTCATCATTGGGCAGTTTAACTCCTTTGCAGTTAATGAAATTTTTGATATGTCCTTATTCATTTCTGTGTTTATTTTTGTTTTCTACTTACCATACCTTTTCTTTGTAATTTTCACCTTTCTTGCTCTCTGTTGGATTTGATGAGTTACTATTTCCCTCTTCACGTTTTTAAGTTACACATTATGTCTATGCTTTTCTAATTACCTTAAAGTTTTAACATTTATCCTTAACAAGGCCTGAAGTTTTTCTCTATTGTTTTCCAGACAACACAAGGAATCTGAAACTCATCTCTCCTTTCCATTTTTCCTAAAATATCTAGTATTTTCATTTTATCTTATTTCTAACTGGATCAAATTGATCATTATTATAATTATATATTGTCAGTAATAATTTAAATTTACCAATTTAAACAGGGTCTGTGAGTGGTAAGCCCAGGACCTACTTTACTACCTGAGGCCCACATGTAAACATTTGAGTAAAAACCCTGAATCAGGAAAGACTGCTAGTGTAGGAATTTTCCAAATAGCAAGAAAGCATGGAAATCAGTATCAAAGAGCTGTGAGGCAAGGATGAGAATGTGGTAGATCCTGGAAGGTTTGGTTCCAGGAGATCCTGCAATCCTTAAAGAATCCCCCATAAATACACAGTGGATCCCCTTTCTCCATGCACCATGACCTGACCAACAAGTTTGTTCCTCCCTACTTCTGAGTCTGAGATAACAGCAGCTTTTGCAGCAAGAAAAGTGCATAATCTCACTTTTCTAATGTAACAGCCAATATATATTGAACTTTTTATTGTGATTTGAGTGAAAGCTTACAGAGCAAATTGGTTTTCCATTCAACTCATACACATTTTGTTTCATGATATTGATTGTAATCCCACAATATTAATAGCACACTTCCCACTTCCTCGGTTTCCTGTTTCCTTTTGTTCTTCCTGACCATTTGATCTCATATAGTTAACTGTTGTAAGGAACACATACTTCCCTGGTGTTACTGTTCACTTTATAGGCTTATTGTTTATCCAAAAGTTGAGTCATGGGGGTGAATTCAGTTCCAGGCTTCAAGTGTTGACTAAGGGCCACAGTCTTCGAAGTTCGTTGTACCAGCCTGTATCTGATCGGTGAGCTTGGTCTTTATTACCGTTTTGTTCCACATTTTTCTCCCACTCTATGCAGGACCTCCTAGTGTGATCCCTGTCAAAAGTGATAGGCAGTGTAGCCAAACACCATCAAGTTTGTCTGGTCTCATGGTCATGGAACCTGAGGTTTGTGTGGTCAGTTAGTCCTTTGGACTAATTGTATAACAAATATTGTTGTCATTGTATGCTATTGAGTCAATCTGACATCAATATACTTGTGTATATATATATATGTATATTTATATGACCACTATGAAAACTGTAAGGGAGTGAATTGAGGGAGAAAGTAAGTGAAAGGGAAAAACTTGCATTAAAAAATTGCAAAATAGACTTATATGATACCTAATTTCTATATGTACTCTGGTGGCATAGTACTAAGGCATATGACTGGTAACCAGAAGGCTGGCAGTTCAAATCCACCTGCCACTCCTCAGAAGGAAAGTTGGGCAATAGACTTCTGTAGAGATACTGCCTTGGAAACCCAAAGAGGGGTTGCTAATACTATGTGTATACACAGTTGTAACAATGAATGAAAAAATGGTCAATAGATGAATGTTACTGGCTTTTTTCTCAGAAAAAGTGGGATTTCACTTGGTTATTCTTTCCACTATACTTTTTGATTTTTTAAAAAATAGCATATATTATCAGGAAAAAAAAAAAAAAAGGCGTTTCATTGGGAGAAAACACCAGTCTATTATCTATGTATAAGTTAAGAGAGAAAGATGGTATTCTGGAGTGTTCTGTTTTTATCGGGGAAAGAAAGAAAATCGAAAGGTATGACATACACTTAAGAGGTGGGAAACATTGACAGATTTCTCACTTAGATTGTGCAAAGCTGTTTTAACCAAAGCATGAATTGACCATGCAGTTGTGGAAATTTGAGAGGTTTGGACAAGATTCAGCACAAAATTTTGGTTTTCTTCTGGCCAAAACCTTGCACAGCCCAAGACAGTGAGATAAGTGACAAGTCTCTAGGGGGCAGTTTATATTTGTCGAGTATCAGAAATTTAGTTTAACTTATTTTTCCCATTTAGGCCAATTCTACAGTATTACTCCTTTCATTTAAGAAAGGAAACAAATGAATTTATTGAACCCAGATTACATGCTTCCTGATACATTAAATTAACCGCCCCCCTCCCAGCTCCATCTTATTCCCAGTGAGCTAAAGCAGACCACTGCCTACTTCACGTCACCTCTTTCAAAGCTGCCCTGTTGTTGTTTGCTGTCGAGTCAGACCCGACTCATAGCAACCCCTCCTTAGGTTTCCGAGGCGGTATCACTATGGAAGTAGACTGCCCAACCTTCCTTCCAAGGAGTTGAAAGCTGTCCTACCCCTTCCTAAAAGGTATCCTCTCCTTTTCCTGTAGTCTTAACTACAGTTTGGGGTTTCTCTGATGAGGGTCATGGGCAGGGGAGGGAGGGTAGAAATAGTAAGCACAATGTAAGACAAAATTAGAACTTCATGGAGAAAATAAATGAGTTGAGCTGAAACAAGGGAAGTCCTGTATGTATGAATACTTAAAAAGATTTGCTTCTGTGGCTGGCAAACTGTGCAGACATTATGAAAAGAAAGGTTCTGGAAATTTTTGGAATGACTGCATAAGTGAAATTAGCATAAAGCCTCCTAAAATAACTTTGAAAGATATTTTAATTTAGATCTTTAAGGTCTACTACACTTGCTCAAAAAAGCACTATCCTTCATTTTTAGTTATTACAACATTAGTGTTATTGTTAATTGCCATTCAATATTACTTTTCAAAAAGTGGCTAATGAAAGAAAAATGATGTTACGTAGTTGTAACTTAGCTTAAGCTGAAAGGAAATGTCACAAAATGTGTATGAATCATTAAAAAGAAAACCAATTTGCTCTATAAACTCAAATCATAATTTTAAAAAATTAAAAACAAAATAACCCTTGACTTCTGAATTTATATTCCAACTCAATGCTGTAATTGAGTTTGGTCATCAAACCAAAACCTTAACAAAAGGCTTATAGGCTTCTGACATTATGAAGGACTACTGTAGAGAGTGGTAAAACCTTTAGCTTAAATAATAGTTGGTTTATCTTTTTAAAGGATATGTAGAACTTACAATGGGTTTAAACAGGAACAATTGTGAGGATGGCACAGGACTGGGCAATGTTTCATTCTGTTGTACACAGAACAGGGTTGCTGTGAGTTGGAACCAATTCGAGGGCATCTAACCACAAACATTCCCAATTCACTCACATTGTTGATTTTACCTCATTATATATTCTCTACTATTTAACAATACTTAACTTATATTTAAGACTTTCATATTTATAAAGTGAATATTACATATGAGTTTTCTGATGTACAATAAGATTTGACCTCTGGGAAAATGCTTTCCCACATCTGTTACATTCATAGGGCTTCTCTCCTGTATGAGTTATCTGATGTCTAAGGAGATGAGACTTCTTGATGAAGGCTTTGCCGCATTTAATACATCCATAGGGTTTCTCTCCCGTATGAATTCTTTGATGTGTAGCAAGCACCGATGTGTTTCCAAAGGCTTTGCCACATACCATACATTGGTAGGGTTTCTCCCCTGTATGGAATCTAGAATGTTTAGAAAGGGATGAACGATACCTGAAGGTTTTCCCACATTCCTTACATTCAAATGAGTTCTCAAGTGTATGAGATTTCACATGCTGACTAAAGGAGGAGCTCCAAGTGAATGTTTTCCCACACTCCCTGCATTCATAAGGTTTCTCTCCAGTATGAAGTCTCTGGTGGATCACAAGTTGAAATTTATGCATAAAAGCTTTCCCACAATCATTGCACTCAAAAGGTCTCTCTCCATTATGAATTTTCTGATGAGTTTCAAGGTGTGTCTTCCTGCTGTAGGCTTTCCCACAGTCATTGCATTCAAAGGTTTTTATTTCTGCATGATTCTTTTCATGTCTAATGAAATGAAATTTCTTTTTGAAGGCTTTCCCACATTCACTGCATTCGTATGAATTTTCTTCAGTATAACCACTATTATAATTAAGTAAGTCTAAATTAGGTTGCAAACTCTTCCCATAGGATTTACATTTATATGATTTTTGTATCGTAGCATTAAGATTTGTGTTCATATTATAGTCGTGGAGTTTCTCCATAGTCAGAATTTCATTGAATGTGAATGAAATTGAGTTAAAAAAATTGTCTTTGTTTTCCTTGTGTCTCTCTGGTTTCTCAACAAGTATGCAATCAGCTTCTGAAAAGGCATGCAACAAAACATTCCAAGTTAATTTTTTTCACCAACAAGTTTTAGAAACTTTTGTGGTTTCAAATCTAGTCTCCCATTCTGGACCAAATCCTTTATTTATTTTTTGTTCCTGAGCTTTAAGAATAAAACTGCTGAAGAGGAAATGGGAGCAAAGGACAATAATGAGAACAAATGGCTTAACTTGTGACCTACAGATGGACAGTAAAATATGCACTAGGTAAAATAGACAGTAAAAAAAGGCACCAGGTACATAGATTAGAGTACAAAGAAAGTCAAAAGTTGTTCATTAAGGGTGCAGGGTTAAGTAATAGAATGAGGAAAAGTCCATGTTAGAGACCTAGTTAAGCAAGAGGGTAAACAGAGGAACAAAGCCAAGGCAGTTAAGGGGAAAACATCAGAAAACAGACTAGGTTTGAAAGAGGCAGATCAGAGGCAGAGTCTTCACTACCTAATTCCTAGACTATCCCTATTTCCCTCACTCATGTCTCTTTCCTCTTAATCTTCATGTACAGTATCAGCTCCCTTTATGAGAATTCCTGTATCTCCAGCCCCACACACCCCATCCAAACCACAGCTGAGGTATATTTGTAGACAGGGCTCCAATTCCACTTACAGCTAAGGTTCATTCTTTCATGTACCTGTAAATCCAGAAACATGACTGTCCAGCAGGGTAAGCTGTTCTTTGTCCAGGCAGATTCTGTCAGTTTAGTATCATTTTATTCTGGCTGAGTTTCTGTATATAAACATGTTTTGACAAGTACCGTTTTTACCTCCTCTTTCAATCTAACCAACAAACTAGTCCCCAGAAAGCTGCTTTGCACTTGAAGTCATATCTTTCACTCCCATTCCCAGAACCCTGTTGTTGTTGTTGTTGTTAAGTGCCATTAAGTTGTCTCCAACTCAGCAACCCCATGCACAGCAGAGTGAAACACTGCCCAGTCCTGTGCCAGCCTCATAATCCTTCCTATACCACAGCCCATTGTTGCAGCCACTGTGTTAATCCATTTCGTTGAGGGTCTTCTCCTTCTTCATTGACACTCTACTTTACCAAGCATGATATCCTTCTCCAGGAAATGGTTCCTCCTGACAACACGACCAAAGTAGGTGGGATGAAGTCTGGCCATTCTCACTTCCAAGGAGCATTCTGGCTGCACTTCTTCCAGGACAGATCTGTTAGTCCTTTTAGCAGTCCACTGTACTCTTAGCATTCTTTTCCAACACCACAACTCAATAGCATCAACTCTTCTTCGGTCTTCCTTATTCATTGTACAGCTCTCACATGCATAAGAGGTGACTGAAAATACCACAGCTTGGGGTAGGTGCAAGGAGGTATCTTTGCTCTTCAGCACTTGAAAGAGGTCTTTTGCAGCAGATTTGCCCAGTGCATTATGTCATCTGATGTCTTGACCACTGCTTCCATTGGTGTTGATAGTACAACCAAGTAATATAAAGTCCCTGACAACTTCAATCTTTTCCCCATCCATCACAAAGCTGTTTACTGGATCAGTTGCAAGGATTTTTGTTCTTTATGTTGAGGTGTAATCCATACTGCAGACTGTAGTCTTTAATCTTTATCAGGAAGTGCTTCAAGTCATCTCACTTTCAGCAAGGCAAGTTGTGTCACCTGCGTATTGCAGGTTGTTAATGAGTCTTCCTCCAATACTGATGCCATGTTCTTCTTCATATAATTCAGCTTCTCAGATTATTTGCTCAGCATATAAATTGAGTAAGTATGGTGAAAGGAGACAACCCTGATGCACCCCTTTTCTGATTTTAAACCATGGAATATCCCCTTGTTCTGTTCAAACGACAGCCTCCTGATCTATGTACAGACTCCTTATGCATACAATTTCCATTCTTCTCAATGTTATCCATAATTTATTACGATCCACACAAATGCTTTTGTATAGTCAATAAAACACAAGTAAACACATTTCTTGTATTCTTTGTTTTCACCTAAGATCCATGTGACATCAGCAATGATATCCTTCATTCCATATGCTCTTCTGAATCCAGTTTGCATTTCTGGAAGTTCCCTGTCAATATACTGCTGCAATCATTTTTTAATTATCTTCAATAAGATTTCACTTGCATATGATATTAATTATATTGTTCGGTAACCTCCACATTCTGTGTGTTCACCTTTCTTTGGAATGGGTACAAATATGGATCTTTTCCAATCAGCTGGCCAAATAGCTGTCTTCCAAATTTCTTGGCATAGCCGAGTGAGTGCCTCCAGTGGGGAATCCATTTGTTGAAACATCTTAGTGGGTATTCATTCCACCAATTCCTGGAGCCTTGTTCTTTGCTAATTCCTTCAGTGCAGCCTCAACTTCTTGCTTCAATACCATTGGTTCTTGATCATATGCCACCTCCTGAAATGGATGAACACTGACCAGTTCTTTCTGGTACAGTAACTGTGTATTCCTTCCATCTTCTTTTGATGTTTCCTTTATCATTCAATATTTTGCCCATAGAATCTTACAATATTGCAACTCAGGCTTAAATTTTTTCTTCAGTTCTCTCAGCTTGAGAACTGCTGAGTGTGTTCTTCCCTTTTGGTTTTCTAATTCCAGGTCTTTGCACATTTCATTGTAATATTTGGCTTTGTCTTCTCAAGGTGCTCTTCGAAATCTTCTGTCCAGCTCTTTTATCTTGTCATTTCTTCCATTTGCTTTAGGGCAAGTTTCAGAGTCTCTTCTGACATCCATTTTGGTCTGTTTTTCCTTTTTTGTTTATTATTATTATTGTTGTTGTGCTTTAAATGCAAGTTTACAGAGCAGAGTTGTTTTACATTCAACTTCGTACATTCATTTCATGTACATTTGGTTTCACTCCCCAGTTACCATCCCCAACCCTAACCCACTCTCTTCCCCTCCCTTCCCAGTAACCCCCACATACACCCCATGCCCCCTCACAGTTATGCACTCCTGTGTGTCCTGCATTTTCTCCACACGAATGTTGTCCATTGGGTGCCCTGTGGTCAACTGCTCCAAGGGATGCATCTCCACAGAGAATGTGGGTGCATCACCCTGGGTTGAGTGGGCTACATGTATGTCTCTTGGGAGTGAGTTTTATTTCAGGTCTAAAGTGTATCCCAAGGACATAGTATTGGGGGTCCCACCAGATTCCATCCAACCAGTAATTCTGGTCATTATTGTGTTTTGGGATTTTGTTCCATGTTTTTCCTCCCACTCTATCCAGGAACTCCAGTTTTGGTCCTTTCCCGAGTGGTTGGCATTGGTAGCCGGGCACCATCAAGTTCTTCTGGTCCCAAAGTCCATCATGTCCTAGGGCTGATTGCTTCCAAATGCCTTTGGTTTTTTGCACTCTTCTTCACTTCTGATGATAGAAGACCATTAGCTGCATCTTAGATGGCTGCTTGAAAGCTTTTAAAGACCCCAGACACTACTCACCAATGTTGGTTGTAGAACAAGATTTTTATGTATTTTGTTGTGCCAACTGAGTCTGGTGTCCTCCAGTACTATGGTCGTGAGTCAGTAGATCCACTGGATCTCTCTCCCATGGTGTCTGGCTGTAGTGAGGGATTGGTCTATGTCTGTCTTCTGTTGTTTCTGTAAGGATTATGGGTATTTTGTATCACTGGTATCTGTGCAAGATTTGCCTCAGCTGAATCTATCCTTGGTCTAGAGTATAATCTTGTTCACTGACCCCTATCTGATCTTCTCAGATGTTTATGTGTTTCTCTGTAGCCTGGTGTTTGGTGTTAATGGTAATTCAGTATTGTGGATATACTAGTATTAGCCTCTGTTGGCTATATCTTAGTGCACAATTGAGTGTCCTCCCTCTCCCTAATGTTATTACGGTGGTCACAGATTCTTTCCATACCATCCCTCCCCTTACCCATCTCAGCATGTGGCCCCCAGCTAGCCCAAAATTATCCCCTCCCCTTCCCTCCTCATCCTGGTAACCTACAAAGTGAGTTCCCTTCCTTAAGCAAACCCTTGTCTTTTTACAGTAATGGGCTCATACGATATTTGTCCTTCTGTGACTGACTTATTTCATTCAGCATAATGTCCTCCAGGCTCATCCACGTTGTGAGATGATTCATGTATCCTTCATTGTGCTTTAATGTAGCATAGCATTCCATTGTGTGAATGTACCATAATTTGGTTATCCATTCATTTACTGATGGGCATTCAGGTTGTTTCCATCTCTTTGCTATAGTGAATTGTCCTGTGATGAACGTAAGTGTACATATGTCTCTTCATGTCCTGCCTCTCATCTCTTTAGGATATATTCCTAATAATAGAATTGGTTGTTCAAACAGTATTTTTATTTTCAGTTTCTTAAGGAAGTACCATACCATTTGCCACAATGTTGTACCATTTTACAACCCGCCAGCAGCATGTAAGAGTTCCAATCTCTCCGCAACCTCACCAGCATTTATTATTTTCTGTCCTGTTGAACTCTCCATTATTGCTAGGGTGAGATGATACCTCATCATTGTTTTGATTTGCATCTCTCTAATGACTAAAGATCACAAGCAATTCCTCATGTGTTTGTTGGCTGCCAGCATATCATCTTTAGTGAAGTGTCTGTT